GCGTAGAAAACACCTCAGGTGGGATCTGCTTATCATGCCAGTAACTCTGGAAACCATCAGGACCATCAAGGTTACATTTGCTCTCATTGGAGAATAAAACTTTCCTCCACCTTTCAGCGTCCAATGTTTGGTCCAAACGGTCATTTCTGTGGTGTCCAAGGAGACGAGGCCTTTGAAGGCGTTTTTTGTTTTTTAAGGCCCTTCAGTCTCAGATGTCGTCTGATGGTTGCTGGCTGCAGTCAGCTCCAGTAACGGCATTGATTTGTGTTGAGAATCGTCCAGTGTCTTTACGGACAGCCAGTTGGATCCTCCGGCTCAGTGCTGGTGACATGTTTGGGGTTTTCCACTTGACTTTTTTGTTCCATAACTTTCAGGATCATTTAAGGAATTCCAAATGACCTTCTTACTGCGTCCCCCCTCAGCTGCGATGGCGCGCTGTGAGAGACCCTGCTTATGCAATTCGACAAACCGATCACGTTCAAAAACAAAACTTTTTTTGCCTTTGCCATCAGAACGTCATGACAGTGACACCACCTGACAGAAAATGACAATGAATCCACAGTTTTGCACAGATTTGTCTTTTTTCCGGCCTGAACTTTGGATGAGCTGTAAAACAGTCTCAGTTTACGTTTGTTTTGATTTTAAACTTTTGATCAGGGCTGAAACTCAAAGTATATTTTCATGATTTTCTATAACACAGGCTTCACCTCCGCCAACTGGAATTCCTGAGCTGGACCTCTGGACTGTGTCTGTACTGCTGGATGTTTCCTAACACTAACTAGCTGTTACTTGTGTCTGTGTGATGCTTTTATGTGCTCTGTGAACCTAGTTTGATAACAAAGCTAGCATTAGCTGATAACACTTCAGAAAACCAACAAGACTTAAAGCTAAAGTCCAGAATTAAAAATATTTATATACAGTCTTCTGTCTGGTCAGCAGTGCAGCTTGATGCATTAACTTGGTCTGGACTGCGACTGATTTGGGAACAAAAGAAAATGACAGTGGGTCCTCTAAGCTAGCCAGTAATGCTCAAGCTTCTGCTCAAAGGGGTATCCTTCGGACACAGCAATGGTACCACCTATTTACATTAGTCTAGATTGTATATCACCTGACATGGCTGCATATCTATCTTCTAATAACATTTATGAAAGTGATGGCCTTACCTGAACAGGTGAGATCAAGGATAGAGGAGGATGACCATGATATTGCACACTCCCTCAGAGGAGATCCAGACTGAACACAGTCAGGGTTGATCCTCCAAACAGATCCATATGACTTAAATATCAGTCCTACAGAAACAGCAGAGCCACAGTCCAGATGTTCACAGACAACAGCTGCTGGTTTCATGGTCCAACCATTGTCATCCACTGGTCTCCATTCTCCCAGGTGTTTCACCTCCAGTGTACCTGCACAGTGACTGGCTCCTCCCACCAACCTGACAGGCTCTGACAGAAAGCAGAGAGTCATCAGTGAGAGAACAAAGTGAGTTTGAGCCAAAGCTGCAGCTCCTCTTCTACCTGAGCAGGTGAGTCCAGCAGCTTTGCCAGGTGAGCAGCTGCTTCTAGCTGAGCCTGAGCTTCTACAGTCCAGGAGAGCAGACTCATGGCCTCCACACTGGAACTCTCTGCTCCACACTGGAGCCTCCGCTTCTCCATAGAGCGCCCCCTGGAGGAGCGAAGGAGGCCCACA